GATCCGAGAAGAATCTTTGAGCAGCTGTAAGCCCAATCATCCTTCAGCATTTGGAAACGCTCATTTTCCCAATATACTTTTGTTTTGTATGTTAAGCATATATAAAAAATTTATTTATTTAAAATAATGTTTTAAATGTTTAGCATTTTAGACATACCACTAAATAAATTGGGTTAGAGTAATTCATGCTATATATTATTATCTATAAAACATATTATTTTAAAGCAAGTCCTGCAAAAAAAACAGATTAACTAGTTTAAAGTGTCGACAAAATTTTAAATTTACAGGATATTTTTTTCTTCAGAGTTAAATGATGTTGTAACGTTAATATAGTTATTATCATGGTGTTATTTTGTATTAATTATGATATTTATATATAAATACATTTTATTAGATAAGTTTATGTTTTGAATCACTTATAAATAGTTTACACATATCAATTTTTTTTAAATAACAAATACAAACTATTATCAATTGATTTTTCTACCATAATGATAAATCTCTGATTTCTATCAATCTCTCCAAGTGCTTAAAATATTTACTAATTATGTTATTATGACCGAATAAATTCATAATTTATTGTAATTACTTTTTTCTTGGAAAATTTGTCTTTGTCTCGACTCTCATACAATATAAAAAATATACGGAAAGAAATCTACTTGCAAATCAATTGTGAAAATTTACAATTTTTTTTTGTTTAATATTTAAATAAGTGGTGGTTATTAATTCAGGATGGACAAAATAATCAAAAAGTAAAATATTACCAATTTAATGTATAAAAATGATACCAAATATATAGAATTATTTTCTTTGATCTTAAATCTGAAATTTAATTTGTTATTTAAGAAAATATCTTTTATTATATCTTATAATTAGTGATAAACAAACAATTAAATTGTTGTTACCATTAAATTGACTTTGTATTTAATCCAGTCGTTATCTTTCAATATTTAAAATTTTAGTTTGGTCATATTTATATTTATATGTTTAGAAAATAATTACTTTTGCTACTTTTGTTAGATCTATTTGATTTTTTTTGAAATATCTTCAAATTAACATACTGATAGTATTGTAAAAAATGAATATTTTACCTTGTTTTTATTGTTTCAAAATATCTAAATAGCAAGTATTCTTATATTGTTAACTTATTTTAGTAGTTATTGTGTCTAAAAGCATATAGATAAACACTAGTACACTTTATATTCTAATAATTTTTTTCTTATATTGTCTGTGCAATTTAGAACACCGTTAATAAAAATATAAAATAATAGTTTAAATAATCACAGAATTATAGAATATTAGTAAGCAAACTTTAAGTAGGATTAATATATAATTTTCCAGCAACCAAATGTTGTAAGAATGAAAATATTAAAAATTTACTGTAACTACCCTTTTATGTTTCATTATCTTCTCGGATGAATTAAATTTTATCTTAAGAGAGTTTATATATAACGCATTTGTTTGAAGTTTTTATAAATGTGATGTGTTTTCTTATTTGATGCAATGTCAAAGATATCAGTTAACAGACAATGTTATTTATAATAGAAGATCTCAACTATGAATAAATGGAATTGTGTAAACAATAACGGACGTTGGACTCTTTCCCTTACCACAAAGCATATTTGAACCATCACCTAAAATGTCTTTGATGCTTATTAGAGAATTTGTAATTGTGTGATACATTCTGGTTTCATATAGATTTTTTAACAACCGGTAAATTGTTTATTAATATTCCACCATATTTTATGCCTTCATGAGTATCTTTTGTGCCAGATGTGGTTGATCGAACTTTGAAAAAACAGTTTGGGGAGAATAAGGTAATGCACGGTCCACCTAGATGTTTTGAGATAATAAAGAGTATCTGCATATTTGTTGTGTATCGCCTGAGCCCAGAAGCTGACTTCTTTAGATTGTCCAGATGCTGTAGGAATTGGGGCACGAAAAAATAAAAGAGGTGGTCTCTCGAATAATCACGCTCTTTACATTGTAAAAAACTTTGTTATATGCCACAAGTCCTCATTTTGACACCAGTGGCTAGTCGATTCATGATGGCTAGCCAAGAGATGAAAGAATATCTTGAGACGGCTTTTGGCAACAATACGAGTCGGCTCTACGGAACACAAGCACGGTGAGCTTTGATCCCAAATCTTTGCTGCTGATTAACTAATACTGAATTCATCAGCTTCATACCGCCAGAGTGGAATAGAAATAGGCTGCTGGAGAATCTAAGCTAACAATTCCTGGTAAATCTTCATAGGTAAACTTATGCCTACAAGCACATCAGAAACCTCAGCTTGTCTAGGAACCGCCATATTCCTGATGGCATGTTTTCTGGTAATCTTATTCAATTTTCCAACTTGTAACCTGTGTCAAACAAGCAAAAAGTGTCCACAACAATATGAACATTAAAAATCAGAACCATATAAGTAGTAGGCCGGATCTTTATGGATAGTCCAAACCCATTTGTGACGTCCCTCTCATCCTAATAAGATCCTTTCCTTAGGTAATAAACACGAACCCTTTCAACCCAATGGGATCACAAAAATGTGAAGAGACGCCATAAAAAGCCAAAGGCAATGATTCAAGAAGAATTTTTGAGCAGCTGTAAGCCCAATCATCCTTCACATTTGGAAATGCTTATTTTTCCAACATACCTTTGCTTTGTATGTTAAGCAGATATAAAAAAAACTCATTTAGTTAAAACTATGTTTTAAATGTTTAGCATTTTAGACATACCACTAAATAAATTGGGTTAGAGTAATTCATGCTATATATTATTATCTATAAAACAGTTTTTTTTAAAGCAAGTCCTGCAATAATAACATATTAAATAGTGTAAAGTATCGACAGAATTTTGAATTTATAGGATATTTTTTTCTACAGAGTTAAATGATGTTGTAATAAATAATAATTATAACGTTAATATAGTTATTATCATGGTGTTATTTTTTATTAATTATGATATTTAAATATAAATGCGTTTTACTAGTTAAGTTTATGTTTTGAATCACTTATAAATAGTTTACACATATCAATTTTTTTTAAATAACAAATACAAACTATTATCAATTGATTTTCCTACCATAACGATAAATCTCTGATTTCTAAACTATAATCAAATATGGCTAAAATTACCTCACAAATGACAATCATTTTCTTTGTTTTAGTGTTGGTGTGCGCGTTTGTTCCTGTTTACTCTGTTGAAGAAAGTGAAGCAAAATTATTATGGGATACTTGTCTTCTTAAAATCACTCCTAACTGTGCATTGGATATAATCGGTGTTGTCTTTGAAAATGGAACTATCACTGATGCATGTTGCCACGATCTTGTGGAAGAAGGAAAGTGTGTCACGATACGCTTATCAAATACGTTTCAGACAGACCGCACTTGATTGCAAACGAAACCCAACATTTGAAGAAAAGAGATGATTTGTGGGCTCATTGTGTATCAATCTCTCCAAGTGCTTAAAATATTTACTCATTATGTTATTATGACCGAATAAATTCATAATTTATTATAATTGCTTTTTTCTTGGAAAATTTGTCTTTGTCTCGACTCTCATACAATATAAAAAATATATGAAAAGAAATCTACCTGAAAATCAATTATAAAAACTGACAATTTTTTGTCTAATATTTAAATAAGTGGTGGTTATTAATTCAGGATGGACAAAATAAACAAAAAGTAAAATATTGCCAATTTAATGTATAAAAATGATAAAAAATATATAGAATTCTTTTCTTTGATCTTAAAATCTGAAATTTAGGTTGTTATTTAAGAAAATATCTTTTATTATATCTTATGATTAGTGATATACAAACAATTAAATTGTTGTTACCATTAAATTGACTTTGTACTTAATTCAGTCGTTATATTTCAATATTTAAACTTTTAGTTAGGTTTTATTTATCTTTATATATTTAGAAAATAATTACTTTTGCTGCTTCTGTTAGATCTATTTGATTTTTTTATCAAATATCTTCAAATTAACATACTAATAGTATTGTAAAAAAATGAATATTTTACCTTGTTTTTATTGTTTCAAATTATCCAAATAGCAAGTATTCTTATATTGTTAACTTCTTATAGTAGTTATTGTGTTTAAAGGCATTTAGATAAACACTAATATACATTATATTCTAATAATTTTACTCTTATATTGTCTGTGCAATTTAGAACACCATTAATAATAGTATAAATAATGCTTTTAATAATCATGGAATTAGAGAATATTAGTAAGCAAACTTTAAGTAGGATTAATATATAATTTTACAGCAACCAAATGTTGTAAGAATGAGAATATTAAAAATTTACTGAAACTACCCGCTTATGTTTCATTATCTTCTCGGATTTATTAAATTTTATCTTAAGAGAGCTTATATATAACGCATTTGTTTGAAGTTTTTACAAATGTAATGTGTTTTCTTATTTGTTGCAATGTCAAAGATATCGATTAACAGACAATGTTATTTACAAAACAAGATCTCAACTATGAATAAGGAACAATGAATAAATGGAATTATGTAAACAATAACAGACGTTGGACTCTTTCCCTTACCACAAACCATATTCGAACCATCACCTAAAATGTCTTTGATATTTATTAGAGAATTTGTAACTGGGTGATACATTCTGGTTTCATATAGATTTTTCAACAACCGGTAAACTGTTTATTAATATTCCACCATATTTTATGCCTTCATGAGTATCTTTTGTGCCAGATGTGGTTGATCGAACTTTGAAAAAACAGTGTGGGGAGAATAAGGTAATGCACGGTCCACCTAGATGTGTTGAGATAATAAAGAGTATCTGCATATTTGTTGTGTATCGCCTGAGCCCAGAAGCTGACTTCTTTAGATTGTCCAGATGTTGTAGGTATTGGGGCACGAAAAAATAAAAGAGGTGGTCTCTCGAATAATCACGCTCTTTACATTGTAAAAAACTTTGTTATATGCCACAAGTCCTCATTTTGACACCAGTGGCTAGTCGATTCATGATGGCTAGCCAAGAGATGAAAGAATATCTTGAGACGGCTTTTGGCAACAATACGAGTCGGCTCTACGGAACACAAGCACAGTGAGCTTTGATCCCAAATCTTTGCTGCTGATTAACTAATACTGAATTCATCAGCTTCATACCGCCAGAGTGGAATAGAAATAGGCTGCTGGAGAATCTAAGCTAACAATTCCTGGTAAATCTTCATAGGTAAACTTATGCCTACAAGCACATCAGAAACCTCTGCTTGTCTAGGAACCGCCATATTCCTGATGGCATGTTTTCTGGTAATCTTATTCAATTTTCCAACTTGTAACCTGTGTCAAACAAGCAAAAAGTGTCCACAACAATATGAACATTAAAAATCAGAACCATATAAGTAGTAGGCCGGATCTTTATGGATAGTCCAAACCCATTTGTGACGTCCCTCTCATCCTAATAAGATCCTTTCCTTAGGTAATAAACACGAACCCTTTCAACCCAATGGGATCACAAAAATGTGAAGAGACGCCATAAAAAGCCAAAGGCAATGATTCAAGAAGAATCTTTGAGCAGCTGTAAGCCCAATCATCCTTCACATTTGGAAATGCTTATTTTTCCAACATACCTTTGCTTTGTATGTTAAGCAGATATAAAAAAAACTCATTTAGTTAAAACTATGTTTTAAATGTTTAGCATTTTAGACATACCACTAAATAAATTGGGTTAGAGTAATTCATGCTATATATTATTATCTATAAAACAGTTTTTTTTAAAGCAAGTCCTGCAATAATAACATATTAAATAGTGTAAAGTGTCGACAGAATTTTGAATATATAGGATATTTTTTTCTACAGAGTTAAATGATGTTGTAATAAATAATAATTATAACGTGAATATAGTTATTATCATGGTGTTATTTTTTATTAATTATGATATTTATATATAAATGTGTTTTACTAGTTAAGTTTATGTTTTGAATCACTTATAAATAGTTTACACATATCAATTTTTTTTAAATAACAAATACAAACTATTATCAATTGATTTTCCTACCATAACGATAAATCTCTGATTTCTAAACTATAATCAAATATGGCTAAAATTACCTCACAAATGACAATCATTTTCTTTGTTTTAGTGTTGGTGTGCGCGTTTGTTCCTGTTTACTCTGTTGAAGAAAGTGAAGCAAAATTATTATGGGATACTTGTCTTCTTAAAATCACTCCTAAGTGTGCATTGGATATAATCGGTGTTGTCTTTGAAAATGGAACTATCACTGATGCATGTTGCCACGATCTTGTGGAAGAAGGAAAGTGTGTCACGATATGCTTATCAAATACGTTTCAGACAGACCGCACTTGATTGCAAACGAAACCCAACATTTGAAGAAAAGAGATGATTTGTGGGCTCATTGTGTATCAATCTCTCCAAGTGCTTAAAATATTTACTCATTATGTTATTATGACCGAATAAATTCATAATTTATTGTAATTGCTTTTTTCTTGGAAAATTTGTCTTTGTCTCGACTCTCATACAATATAAAAAATATATGAAAAGAAATCTACCTGAAAATCAATTATAAAAACTGACAATTTTTTGTCTAATATTTAAATAAGTGGTGGTTATTAATTCAGGATGGAGAAAATAAACAAAAAGTAAAATATTTCCAATTTAATGTATAAAAATGATAAAAAATATATAGAATTCTTTTCTTTGATCTTAAAATCTGAAATTTAGGTTGTTATTTAAGAAAATATCTTTTATTATATCTTATGATTAGTGATATACAAACAATTAAATTGTTGTTACCATTAAATTGACTTTGTACTTAATTCAGTCGTTATATTTTTATATTTAAAATTTTAGTTAGGTTTTATTTATCTTTATATATTTAGAAAATAATTACTTTTGCTGCTTCTGTTAGATCTATTTGATTTTTTTATCAAATATCTTCAAATTAACATACTAATAGTATTGTAATAAAATGAATATTTTACCTTGTTTTTATTGTTTCAAATTATCCAAATAGCAAGTATTCTTATATTGTTAACTTCTTATAGTAGTTATTGTGTTTAAAGGCATTTAGATAAACACTAATATATATTATATTCTAATAATTTTACTCTTATATTATCTGTGCAATTTAGAACACCATTAATAATAGTATAAATAATGCTTTTAATAATCATGGAATTAGAGAATATTAGTAAGCAAACTTTAAGTAGGATTAATATATAATTTTACAGCAACCAAATGTTGTAAGAATGAGAATATTAAAAATTTACTGAAACTACCCGCTTATGTTTCATTATCTTCTCGGATTTATTAAATTTTATCTTAAGAGAGCTTATATATAATGAATTTGTTTGAAGTTTTTACAAATGTAATGTGTTTTCTTATTTGTTGCAATGTCAAAAATATCGGTTAACAGACAATGTTATTTACAAAACAAGATCTCAACTATGAATAAGGAACAATGAATAAATGGAATTATGTAAACAATAACAGACGTTGGACTCTTTCCCTTACCACAAACCATATTCGAACCATCACCTAAAATGTCTTTGATATTTATTAGAGAATTTGTAATTGGGTGATACATTCTGGTTTCATATAGATTTTTCAACAACCGATAAACTGTTTATTAATATTCCACCATATTTTATGCCTTCATGAGTATCTTTTGTGCCAGATGTGGTTGATCGAACTTTGAAAAAACAGTGTGGGGAGAATAAGGTAATGCACGGTCCACCTAGATGTGTTGAGATAATAAAGAGTATCTGCATATTTGTTGTGTATCGCCTGAGCCCAGAAGCTGACTTCTTTAGATTGTCCAGATGCTGTAGGTATTGGGGCACGAAAAAATAAAAGAGGTGGTCTCTCGAATAATCACGCTCTTTACATTGTAAAAAACTTTGTTATATGCCACAAGTCCTCATTTTGACAGCAGTGGCTAGTCGATTCATGATGGCTAGCCAAGAGATGAAAGAATATCTTGAGACGGCTTTTGGCAACAATACGAGTCGGCTCTACGGAACACAAGCACAGTGAGCTTTGATCCCAAATCTTTGCTGCTGATTTACTAATACTGAATTCATCAGCTTCATACCGCCAGAGTGGAATAGAAATAGGCTGCTGGAGAATCTAAGCTAACAATTCCTGGTAAATCTTCATAGGTAAACTTATGCCTACAAGCACATCAGAAACCTCATCTTGTCTAGGAACCGCCATATTCCTGATGGCATGTTTTCTGGTAATCTTATTCAATTTTCCAACTTGTAACCTGTGTCAAACAAGCAAAAAGTGTCCACAACAATATGAACATTAAAAATCAGAACCATATAAGTAGTAGGCCGGATCTTTATGGATAGTCCAAACCCATTTGTGACGTCCCTCTCATCCTAATAAGATCCTTTCCTTAGGTAATAAACACGAAACCTTTCAACCCAATGGGATCACAAAAATGTGAAGAGACACCATAAAAAGCCAAAGACAATGATCCAAGAAGAATCTTTGAGCAGCTGTAAACCCAATCATCCTTCACATTTGGAAATGCTCATTTCCCCAACATACCTTTGCTTTGTATGTTAAGCAGATATAAAAAAAACTCATTTAGTTAAAACTATGTTTTAAATGTTTAGCATTTTAGACATACCACTAAATAAATTGGATTAGAGTAATTCATGCTATATATTTTTATCTATAAAACAGATTTTTTTAAAGCAAGTCCTGCAATAATAACGTATTAACTAGTGTAAAGTGTCGACAAAATTTTGAATTTACAGGATATTTTTTTCTACAGAGTTAAATGATGTTGTAATAAATAGTATTTATAACTTTAATATAGTTATTATCATGGTGTTATTTTTTATTAATTATGATATTTATATATAAATACGTTTTATTAGTTAAGTTTATGTTTTGAATCACTTATAAATAGTTTACACATATCAAATATTTTTAAATAACAAATACAAACTATTATCAATTGATTTCCTATCATAACGATAAATCTCTGATTTCTAAACTATAATCAGATATGACTTAAATTACCTCACAAATGATAATCATTTTCTTTGTTTTAGCGTTGGTGTGCGCGTTTGTTCCTGTTTACTCTGTTGAAGAAAGTGAAGCAAAATTATTAAGGGATACTTGTCTTCTTAAAATCACTCCTAAGTGTGCATTGGATATAATCGGTGTTGTCTTTGGAAATGGAACTATCACTGATGCATGTTGCCACAATCTTGTGGAAGAAGGAAAAGTGTGTCACGATACGCTTATCAAATACATTTCAGACAGACCGCACTTGATTGCAAACGAAACCCAATATTTGAAGAAAAGAGATGATTTGTGGGCTCATTGTGTATCAATCTCTCCAAGTGCTTAAAATATTTACTGATGATGTTATTATGATCGAATAAATTCATAATTTATTGTAATTGCTTTTTTCTTGGAAAATTTATCTTTGTCTCAACTCTCATACAATATAGAAAATATATGAAAAGAAATCTACCTGCAAATCAATTGTGAAAATTGACAATTTTTTGTCTAATATTTAAATAAGTGGTGGTTATAAATTCAGGATGGACAAAATAATCAAAAGTAAAATATTGCCAATTTAATGTATAAAAATGATAAGAAATATATAGAATTCTTCTCTTTGATCTTAAATCTGAAATTTAAGTTGTTATTTAAGAAAAACATATTTTATTATATCTTATGATTAGTGATATACAAACAATTAAATTGTTGTTACCATTAAATTGACTTTGTACTTAATTCAGACGTTATCTTTCAATATTTAAACTTTTAGTTAGTTCTTATTTATCTTTATATGTTTAGAAAATAATTACTTTTGCTGCTTCTGTTAGATCTATTTGATTTTTTATGAAATATCTTCAAATTAACATACTAATAGTATTGTAAAAAATGAATATTTTACCATGTTTTTATTGTTTCAAAATATCCAAATAGCAAGTATTCTTATATTGTTAACTTCTTTTAGTAGTTATGGTGTTTAAAAGCATTTAGATAAACACTAGTATACTTTATATTCTAAAAATTTTACTCTTATATTGTATGTGCAATTTAGAACACCTTTAATAAAAGTATAAAATAAAGGTTTAAATAATCATGGAATTATAGAATATTAGTAAGCAAACTTTAAGTAGGATTAATATATAATTTTACAGCAGCCAAATGTTGTAAGAATATGAATATTAAAAATTTACTGAAACTACCCTTTTATGTTTGATTATCTTCTCGTATGAATTAAATTATATCTTAAGAGAACTTATATATAACGCATTTGTTTGATGTTTTTACAAATGTGATGTGTTTTCTTATTTGTTGCAATGTCAAAGATATCGGTTAACAGACAATGTTATTTACAATAGAAGATCTCAACTATGAATAAGAAAAAAATGAATAAATGGAATTGTGTAAACAATAACAGACGTTGGACTCTTTTCCTTACCACAAACCATATTCAAACCATCACCTTAAATGTCTTTGATGCTTATTAGAGAATTTGTAACTGGGTGATACATTCTGGTTTCATTTAGATTTTTTTTAAAACCGGTAAACTGTTTTTTAATATTCCACCATATTTTATGTCTTCATGAGTATCTTTTGTGCCAGATGTGGTTGATCGAACTTTGAAAAAAACAGTGTGGAGAGAATAAGGTAATGCACGGTCCACCTAGATGTGTTGAGATAATAAAGAGTATCTGCATATTTGTTGTGTATCGCCTGAGCCCAGAAGCTGACTTCTTTAGATTGTCCAGATGCTGTAGAAATTGGGGCACGAAAAAATAAAAGAGGTGGTCTCTCGACTAATCACGCTCTTTACATTGTCAAAAACTTTGTTATATGCCTAAAGTCCTCATTTTGACACCAGTGGCTAGTCGATTCATGATGGCTAGCCAAAAGATGAAAGAATACCTCGAGACGGCTTTTGGCAACAATACGAGTCGGCTCTACGAAACACAAGCACAGTGAGCTCTAATCCCAAATCTTTGCTGCTGATTAACTAATACGGAATTCATCCGCTTCATACCGCCAGAGTGGAATATCCCTTCTTGCTGCAATAGAAATAGGCTGCTGGAGAATCTAAGCTAACAAATATTGATACACTCTTCATAGGTAAACTTATGCCTACAAGCACATCAGAAACCTCAGCTTGTCTAGGAACCGCCATATTCCTGATGGCATGTTTTCTGGTCATCTTATTCAATTTTCCAACTTGTAACCTGTGTCAAACAAGCAAAAAGTGTCCACAACAATATGAACATTAAAAATCAGAACCATATAAGTAGTAGGCCGGATCTTTATGGATAGTCTAAACCCATTTGTGACGTCCCTCTCATCCTAATAAGATTCTTTCCTTAGATAATAAACACGAACCCTTTCAACCCAATGGGATCACAAAAATGTGAAGAAACGCCATAAAAAGCCAAAGGCAAAGATCCAAGAAGAATCTTTGAGCAGATGTAAGCCCAATCATCCTTCACATTTGGAAATGCTCATTTCCCCAACATACCTTCGCTTTGTATGTTAAGCAGATATAAAAAAAACTCATTTAGTTAAAACTATTTTTTAAATGTTTAGCATTTTAGACATACCACTAAATAAATTGGGTTACAGTAATTCATGTTATATATTATTATCTATAAAACAGATTTTTAAAGCAAGTCCTGCAATAATAACATATTAACTAGTCTAAAGTGTCGACATAATTTTGACTTTACAGGATATTTTTTTCCCATAGACTTAAAATGATATTGTAATAAATAATAATTATAATGTTAATATAGTTATTATCATGGTGTTATTTTTTATTAATTATGATTTTTATATAGAAATGCGTTTTATTAGTTAAGTTTATATTTTGAATCACTTATAAATAGTTTACACATATCAAATTTTTTTAAATAACAAATACAAACTATTATCAATTGATTTTCCTACCATAACGATAAATCTCTGATTTCTAAACTATAATCAAATATGGCTAAAATTACCTCACAAATGACAATCATTTTCTTTGTTTTAGCGTTGGTGTGCTCGTTTGTTCCTGTTTACTCGGTTGAAGAAGGTGAAGCAAAATTATTAAGGGATACTTGTCTTCTTAAAATTATTCCTAAGTGTGCATTGGATATAATCGGTGTTGTCTTTGGAAATGGAACTACCACTGATGCATGTTGCCACGATCTTGTAGAAGAAGGAAAAGTGTATCACGATACGCTTATCAAATATATTTCAGACAGACCGCACTTGATTGCAAACAAAACCCAATATTTGAAGGAAATAGATGATTTGTGGGCTCATTGTGTATCAATCCCTCCAAGTGCTTATAATATTTACTGATTATGTTATTATGACCGAATAAATTCATAATTTATTGTAATTGTTTTATTCTTGGAAAATTTGTCTTTGTCTCGACTCTCATACAATATAAAAAATATATGAAAAGAAATCTACATGCAAATCAATTGTGAAAATTGATATTTTTTTGTTTAATATTTAAAAAAGTGGTGGTTATTAATTCAGGATAGACAAAATAATCAAAAAGTAAAATATTGCCAATTTATTATACAAAAATGATACCAAATATATAGAATTCTTTTCTTTGATCTTAAATCTGAAATTTAAGTTGTTATTTAAGAAAACATCTTTTATTATATCTTATGATTAGTGATAGACAAAAAATTAAATAGTTGTTACCATTAAATTGACTTTTGTACTTAATTCAGTCTTATCTTTCAATATTTAAACTTCTAGTTTGGTCATATTTATTTTTTTATATTTATAAAATAATTACTACTTTTGCTGCTTCTATTAGATCTATTTGATTTTTTTAATGAAATATCTTCCAATTAACATACTAATAGTATTGTAAAAAATGAATATTTTACCTTGTTTTTATTGTTTCAAAATATCCAAATAGCAAGTATTCTTATATTTCTAACTTCTTTTAGTAGTTACTGTGTCTAAAAGCATTTAGATAAACACTAGTATACTTTATATTCTAATAATTTTATTCTTATATTGTCTGTGCAATTTAGAACACCATTAATAAAAGTATAAAGTAATGGTTTAAATAATCACAGAATTATAATATATTAGTAAGCAAACTTCAAGTAGGATTAATATATAATTTTCCAGCAACCAAATGTTGTAAGAATGAAAATATTAAAAATTTACTGAAATTACCCTTTTATGTTTGATTATCTTCTCGTATGAATTAAATTTTATCTTAAGAGAACTTATAAATAACGCATTTGTTTGAAATTTTTACAAATATGATGTATTTTCTTATTTGATGCAAAGTCAAAGATATCGGTTAACAGACAATGTTATTTACATTAGAAGATCCCAACTATGAATAAGGAAAAATGAATAAATGAAATTGTGTAAACAATAACAGACGTTGGACTCTTTCCCTTACCATAAACCATATTTGAACCATTACCTAAAATGTCTTTGATGCTTATTAGAGAATTTTTAATGATGTGATACATTCTGGTTTCATATAGATTTTTCAACAACCGGTAAACTGTTTATTAGTATTATACAATATTTTATGCCTTCATGAGTATCTTTAGTGCCAGATGTGGTTGATCGAACTTTAAAAATCAGTGTGAGGAGAATAAGGTAATGCACGGTCCACCTAGATGTGTTGAGATGATAAAGAGTATCTGCATATTTGTTGTGTATCGCCTGAGCCCAAAAGCTGACTTCTTTAGATTGTCCAGATGCTGTAGAAATTGAGGCACAAAAAAATAAAAGAGGTGCTCTCTCGACTAATCATGCTCTTTACATTGTAAAAAAACTTTGTTATATGCCACAAGTCCTCATTTTGACACCAGTGGCTAGTCGATTCATGATGGCTAGCCAAGAGATGAAAGAATACCTTGAGACGGCTTTTGGCAACAATACGAGTCGGCTCTATGAAACACAAGCACAGTGAGCTCTGATCCCGAATCTTTGCTGCTGATTAACTAATACGGAATTCATCAGTTTCATACCGCCAGAGTGGAATATCCCTTCTTGCTGCAATAGAAATAGGCTGCTGGAGAATCTAAGCTAATAATTCCTGATACACTCGTCATGGGTAAACTTATGCCTACGAGCACATCAGAAACCTCAGCTTGTCTAGGAACCCCATATTCCGAATGGCATGTTTTCTGGTAATCTTATTCAATTTTCCAATTTGTAACCTGTGTCAAACAAGCAAAAAGTGTCCACAACAATAAGAACATTAAAAATCAGAACCATATAAGTAGTAGGCCGGATCTTTATGAGTTTAGTCCAAACCCATTTGTGTCGTCCCTCTCATCCTAATAAGATCCTTTCCTTAGGTAATAAACACGAACCCTTTCAACCCAATGGGATCACGAAAATGTGAAGAGACGCCATAAAAAGCCAAAGACAAAGATCCGAGAAGAATCTTTGAGCAGCTGTAAGCCCAATCATCCTTCACATTTGGAAATGCTCATTTTCCCAATATATCTTTGCTTTGTATATTAAGCAGATATAAAAAAACTCATTTAGTTAAAACTATGTTTTAAATGTTTAGCATTTAAGACATACCACTAAATAAATTGGGTTAGAGTGATTCATGCTATATATTATTATCTATAAAACAGATTTTTTTTAAAGCAAGTCCTGCAATAATAACAAATTAATGAGTTTAAAGTGTCGACAAAATTTTGAATTTACAGGATATTTTTTTCTTCAGAGTTAAATGATGTTGTAATAAATAATAATTATAACGTTAATATAGTAATTATCATGTTGTTATTTTTTATTAATTATGATATTTATATATAAATGCGTTTTATTAGTTAAATTTATGTTTTCAATCACTTATAAATAGTTTACACATATCAAATTTTTTTAAATAACAAATACAAACTATTATCAATTAATTTATCTACCATAATGATAAATCTCTGATTTCTAAACTATAATCAGATATGGCTAAAATTACCTCACAAATGACAATCATTTTCTTTGTTTTAGTGTTGGTGTGCGCATTTGTTCCTGTTTACTCTGTTGAAGAAAGTGAAGCAAAATTATTATGGGATACTTGTCTTCTTAAAATCACACCTAAGTGTGCATTGGATATAATCGGTGTTGTCTTTGGAAATGGAACTATCACTGATGCATGTTGCCATGATCTTGTGGAAGAAGGAAAAGTGTGTCACGATACGCTTATCAAATACATTTCAGACAGACCGCACTTGATTGCAAACGAAACCCAATATTTGAAGAAAAGAGATGATTTGTGGGCTCATTGTGTATCAATCTCTCCAAGTGCTTAAAATATTTACTGAATATGTTATTATGACCGAATAATTTCATAATTTATTGTAATTGCTTTTTTCTTGGAAATTTTGTCTTTGTCTCGACTCTCATACAATATAATAAATATATGAAAAGAAATCTACCTGCAAATAAATTGTGAAAATTTACAATTTTTTGTTTTATATTTAAATAAATGGTGGTTATTAATTCAGGATGGACAAAATAATCAAAAAGTAAAATATTGCCAATTTAATGTATAAAAATGATACCAAATATATAGAATTCTGTTCTTTGATCTTAAATCTGAAATTTAAGTTCTTATTTAAGAAAATATATTTTATTATATCTTATGATTAGTGTTAAACAAAAAATTAAATTGTTGTTACCATTAAATTGACTTTTGTACTCAATTCAGTCGTTATCTTTCAAATATTTAAACTTTTAGTTTGGTCATATTTATTTTTATATGTTTAAAAAATAATTACTTTTGCTGCTTCTATTAGATCTATATGGTTTTTTTATGAAATATCTTCAAATTAACATACTATTAGTATTGTATAAAATGAATATTTTACCTTTTTTAATTGTTTCAAAATATCTAAATAGCCAGTATTCTTAAATTTCTAACTTCTTTTAGTAGTTATTGTGTCTAAAAGCATTTAGATAAACACTAGTATACTTTATATTCTAATAATTTTATTCTTATATTGTCTGTGCAATTTAAACACCATTAATAAAAGTATAAAGTAATGGTTTAAATAATCACGAAATTATAATATATTAGTAAGCAAACTTCAAGTAGGATTAATATATAATTTTCCAGCAACCAAATGTTGTAAAAATGAAAATATTAAAAATTTACTGAAATTACCCTTTTATGTTTGATTATCTTTTCGTATGAATAAAATTTTATCATAAGAGAACTTATATATAACGCAT